TGAATATAATCTGATAATGGCAAATGTCTGATTTTACCAGTGAATTAAATTGTTTAATATGACAGATTGCAAGCATATATCTCAAACATAATAATTCAACATCAGAATTATTATAAGTAGAATAGAATTATTTATAGAAGCCAGTAGACCTACACATAATATTATTATCGAGGTTGTGCCATATGTTTGTTTTTTACCATACCTTTATTTTACATCTACAGAATTATGAGAAAATCGTTATCTTTATTTTAAGCAAAAAAAAAAAAAAAAAAAAACGCGATTCTCATTTTAGACAGAATCGTGCAGCTCTAGTTCATGGTATTTTGATGTTTTGATTTTTGCTTCAATTCATTTATCAACCGGATGAAAAGTGGTGATAAAATAGACCAAAAGTGTTTGTAGAACTGGGAAACCATCAGGACCTGGTGATTTATTATTAGGCATAAGTTTAAGAGCATTAGAAATTTCTTGTTCTGATAAAGGGGATTCAATTTTTTTTTCAAGTATTTACTTGCTGTTCGATTAGTTAAGGTAAGTTGATGTTGTTGAGAAATGAATTTTTGTTATCCTGGGATGTTTTTTTTTTTTTGTAGGAATATAATTTATTGTAAAATTTTTGAAAAATCTGGTTTATCAAATTGTATTTATTGTGTTTAATTTGATTAGCCAGATATTTACCAGATTTGTTACTAAGATCAAAGTGTTCTTGTCGTAGTCTGTGAATAAGGAATTGAGTGTGCGCATTAATTAGTTTATTTAATAATAATTAATATTTCCTAAGTGAATCTTGTGTTTCTTCTGTTGGATCAATTATCAGATTACCTGCAGGGTCCTAAAAGCATTGAAAAAGTCTTAAATTTGATTATGTCAAATTAAGGCCTTGAATTTGGTATACAAAGTCTTGAATTTCGTTACAAAGGTCTTAATTTATTTATTTATTTTTGCCTTTCCTAAGATTAAGTTTATACTGTAACAAAATTCACTGTTACTAATGTAGGCTAATTAAAAATTCATGCAGCATGCTTCACGTCCTAGCAGAAAGTGCGAAAGCGTGCGCACCCGTTACTATGGTTACTAGTCAAGTGAGGTACAGAACAAGATGGTTGCTACCGTGATATACCTGGTGCTGGTGTTTTGTGTCTGGCGCTAAGCCAGAGAAATACAGTGGGGTTAAGTTTGTTTGTTTTCGGTATTCCTGACACATTTAGCGACAGACGGCATTAACTCAGAAAACTCTTACCCTAAAAAGATCTAATCTGTGTTTCCTACAAAAAGACAAAGCAGATTTTGTTTCTCAGCTGTCTTTTTCTTTTTTTCTCAATATTATGAGCATTGCTCCATTTAAACAGTCGCAATATGCGTTTAGCCAGGAGAGCTCAAGCTGAGCAGAGCTCTCAGTAAGGAACCGTCGGAAAAGTGCTCATTTTTTCGTTTTTTTTTTTTTTTCAAAAACAAAACCAACTTAACTCCGCTGAAAGACATGTCATATTATCACAATTATTCAGCATTTAAACCGCCCAATTATTAATTTATGTTTTAGATAAGTAAATACACTCAAGTACTAGTAAAACAAAACATTTGTAAAACACACAAAGAAGTCTAACAATCCATTCAAATATTATTTCCAGACTTCACACTAAACTGATGATTGTTTACAGGGCTCAAAATTAATTTTTGCTCGGTAGCACCGGTGCTCCTAACTTGAAAAATTTAGTCGCATCAGCCAAAATTTAGTCGCACCCACCAATTATAAGCAACGTTACTACAAATTTTATACAAACAGATTTGTTTCATTTGAAATCAACACTAATCAAACTAACAAGCAAAAAATATATATATGCTTGCGTGAAAAAAATATGTCTCAACGAAATCCCGTTATCACAAGAAAATAAATTTTTAAAAGATACACGGACCGGACACGGACCCTGCATGCACTGCTTGACATGAATGAATCTGTTAATGATATAACTGTGCTGTTCACACGGGTGTTGTCTGATATTGCACTGATGCTTTTGACATGTTCTGTACCCTATTATATGCATATGTCATGTTAATAGCAATACCGGTCTTTTCATGTGTAGCGGTATTAGTTTTCTCAGTGCAAGCCTGTTTGCGATGGTGTATGTGTTGTTAGTACATTTTACATATAGCTGCCACTGCACGGCAGACAGCATCTGGTGATTAATTGAAGAATTAAAGAGAACCTCTCGTGCTACAATTTTTTTTTTTTACCGTAGTAGCTCTCCCTGTCATCCCAAGCCAGAAGGTATTGACTGAGTGATTGACAGCTGATATTTCAGTGCTAGAGCAGTGGGCCTATAAGAAGAGCGCAAAAGCGGGGCAATCATTACGGACTTGGCTTTGTTTATTGCAGCAAGATGACATGACAACTGTTTTAAACCATTAAAACTGAGCACTGCAATTCGTGTTTCAAGGGCAAAGATGCATTCTGCGTGAATGTCTTCCAAATCTGCGCATGTGAGATAAAATTTCGGGCACTTATGCGACCAAAATGGTCGCAATTTTGAGTCCTGGTTTATAAAGCTTGTTTTTCATGCTGTCCCAGGAGAGAGTCCTGAGCTCATAAGATCCTCGAGCCAGGGGCTCCCTCCCGTTCACAAAGCAAGAGGGTAGTTTGAGCTCAGGTAGATCTCGAGAACTCCCCTGCTGTAGTAGCTAAGGAACAGATAGTGATTGCTCTTAAGAGATAACCATTTACTAGGAGCATGTCTATGATGCCAATTTGGATTAGTCAATTAACTTAGGTTGCATGTTTTTTGACGGTGGGAGGAAACCAGAGAACCTGGGGGAAATCCATGTGGGCACGGGGAGAACGTGTAAACTCCGCACAGAATTGTCGGCTGGCTTGGTAAGGACTAGAACCAGAGACGTTCTTGCTGTGAGGCAACAGTGCTAACCACTGGGCCACCGTGCCAACCATCTAGGTTTTACACTAATGTATAGGCTTATATTACAATTTTGAATTTAAAACAATTTATAGGTTACAAACTAAAATTAAGTAACAAATTATGGCTTTGATACAGTTGAAGTCCTAATTATTCACCCCTTTTGCATTTTTTGTTCTATTTTTATATTTCCTAAATAATGTTTAACAGAGCACAGAGTGGGAAAAATAAAATATAGAAAAAACGTCTGTATTTTTAGTGAGTATACTTTTTGCTTTTTTTCTTGCTGTGATAAAACAATATAATTGTAGAGCAACCCAAGTTCTGTTGCAATTAATACTTAACTTTAATTGGTAGAACTGTCCGAGATATGAACAAAAGCAAGTGCTGCATCATTTAGATAAAAAAAAAAATTGATTTAAAAAAAAAATCTTGAAAGGTTATAAAAATCTTTGTAATAAATTTTTAAAAAATAATAAAAAATAATTATTTTAAAAATCTTGAATGATATTAATGATATGACCTACTTCCTGAAACTTTCCACTACTCTGTTTATCTGTCTGATTTTACTGTCTGTTTCCTTTGACCGCCCCCTGTTATTTAAAAGAATATCTCAATAGTGAATGTGTCAGTTATAAAAGACTCAACCGTTTCGTGAGGTGCGCGATGTGGCGCCAGGCGAAAGTATAAATTAGCCCTTAAGATGTTTTTTTTTTTTTTTCTGTAGTTCAGTGGTGCATCTAACCTGTATTTAGTACTGTTCAATTTGAATACATTTATTTTACCAATAATTTTGTGATTTAGCATTTTCTCTTTGTGTTTGTGTGTTTTTGATATTGCATTATAGGTCTTAAATTTAATACTTACTGTTCTTAAAAAGGTCTTAAAAAGTCTTAAATTTGACATCATGATATCTGCATGAACCCTAATAATAACATCAGCCAAAATTTCGCACTTATAAGCACCTTTACTACAAGTTTAATACAAACATATTTATTGCATTTGAAATCAACAGTAATCAAACAAGCAAAAAAAAAAAAAAAAAATTCAATTTTGCAAATTTGCAAGCGTTAGAAAAATGTATCTCAACGAAATCCCGTCATCACAAGAAAATAGATTTTTATAACAAAACTGAGTGACCAAAGCATACACGGACCGCAAACCGGCCTTGCACGGACTGCTTGACATGATTGAATCTGTAACTGATATAACTGTGCTGTTCTCACGGGTCGTGTCTAATATTGCACTGATGTTTTTGACATATACTGTACCTTATTTTATGCATACGTCATGTAGCGATACCGGTCTTTTCATGAGTAGCGGTATTAGTTTACTCAATGTAAGCCTGTTTGCGATGGTGTACGTGGTGTTAAATTTGACAAATAGCTGCCACTTGCACGGTGAACAGCTTATGGCGATTTTATGAAGGATTAAACAGAAGCTTTCGTGCTAGATGTGGCACGCAGTTACCGGAAAATTTCATCCCACAGACTTTTCATAGCGGACTTGAAGTCTTTTATCCACTCTTCGAAAAGTGTAGATGGTGGATTAACATTCAGCACATGATCACTACTAAGATGTGTTATTATTTGTAACTTTAGATGGCATGGTTTCAAAATCAAAATCTGTCAGTGTTATCTTCATTGTCATTTTCAGCGCTTTACGTTTTTCACGGTAGTAGTGCTCTCTGTCATCCCAAGCCAGAAGGCATTGACTGAGTGATTGACAGCTGATATTTCAATGCTAGAGCAGTGGGCCTATAAGAAGAGCGCGGAGGCGGGGCAAGCATTACGGACTTTGCTTTGTTTACTGCAGCAAGTTGATATGACAATGGTTTTAAACCAGTCCTGAGCACTGCGCTTCGCGTTTCAAGTGAAGAGATGCATTCTGCGTAAATGTCTCTGGAATCCGCGCATATGGTGAACATATTGCAGCAAAAAGTGGTCGCACACAACAATTTTATGCACTCGCACAAATGCTCCCAAATATATTTTGAGGTCGCATATATAAAATTTCAGGCGCATATGCAACCAAAATGGTCGCAATTTTCAGCCCTGTTTATACATCTCTGATTCTGAGTATTCTGGCTATTATTGCTCATTAAGATTCATGAAATTGAGCTAATTTCGCTACAGATTATGGTGGAGAATGCGGGCGGTCATTTTAAACGTTTTCTGTGAAGCAAAGTTTTTTATTCCACTGTGATTTTATTGTACTCACCAGCATGACCAAAAGTGTATGCAGCTGGCTGTCTGTCTCTCCACAGCTGGAAGGACGCACGTCTTTCAGCCATTCCCTAGCACACAGATGACTACTGTTAGTGTAACTATTAAACTGCAGTTCACAATATTCAAAATCGATTTTGCAAAGATGCACGTCATGCAAATGATTGAAATATTATCGCGCCTGTCGGAACAGCGATTTCCCTCAGTGCTTCTGAGATAGTTTGGAAAACCTCCAAATCTATCTGTTAAAGGCCTTACTATTGTAACTAGAGTGAGGCTAGGCGCCGTCTGTTTTTTCATATTTCTAGACTATATTCTGTTAGATAATCTGCCTAACGTTTGAACCTTTTGGTCGACCGTAGTCTCGCGAGACGTCTCGTATTTTATGGTTGTTTATCTAATCTATCTAAATGTAATGGTCAGATATCATAAATCAGTGTTACTGCGACACGATATGAGAAGTTGATTTTTACTTAGATTGGTTGGCCCAAAATAGTAGATTTTACAAGTACTGCCTTCATCTAAGGCTTTTATAGCCTTGTGTTTGTGTGGTTATGGTACAGGTTGTCCATTTTGCAAATCAAAAGATTGGGTTCATCTGTCTGACATAAGCTGACCCCTGCTGGAGGACACGTCAGATACCTTGGCCTTGTAACTCGGATTGCAAACCGCAGTGAGGCATCAGCAACAACGTACTCCAAGTAGGATCTACCGTGTCAGCTGGCATTCGGTCAATCTTGGTTAATTACCCTGTCATGATTCCACAGGTGTGCCCGCCTAAGTGAGATTGGCAACCTCACTTTAAAGGCCAGTGTTTCCCCTAGGTTTACAGTTTTAGGGTGGGGGGTCTCGTCTCGGCGTGGCGCGGCGTATCTGTTCGGACTGACACCGACACAAAGGCCGTATTTACACTGCACTGTTCAAGTGACTCAATTCCGATTGTTTTCTTCCATGTGGCACAGATCTGATATGGCCCATGTACTTGTGAGCAGGAATAAATCACATGGATTCCAATTTACTCAAATCAGATTCAGGGCTTGTTCATATGTGGAAATTTATCCGATATGAATCGGATCTCTGTTTTCGTGTCTGCAGTTTAAGCAGGGTGATCAGATTTTCACCTGTCAATGAGAGTCGTGCATCAATAAAAATCGTAGCGAATGACGTCAAGTCTGACACTTTTTTTTCAGGACAGACTTCAGCAGAATCCCAAACCTTAAATCTCATACACGAGGACTTAAACAGCTTTTATTTTGTCATATAGCACAGGCATTTAAGCATGAGAGTGGAATGTCCGCTATGTAACCAATATAAACTAATATAAAACTGGTGCATAGCTACATCACGTGCATAAATCTCGTATGGGACATTACATTAAGATGCCTAAAGGTTTAAAAAAGGCATATATTAAAAGAAAATGGACAAATGAGAACCTTTCTGTCATAAACTATAGTAAAACAGCTTGTAAAAAGCTGCGAACAGATTCCATACAGGAATAGGGAAAAGAGCACTCTTAAATTATCAGCTGTTAGTCAGCGCCCGCTCTTTTTTTTCAGCTAATTGCGTCTTTGCCGTGTGCTCTGTAAATGTAGGCGATCGGAAACGAGTCACTTTTAAAAGATTATATTAGCAGGTCATCAAAAAAATCAGATACAGTCACAAAATCGGAAGTAACCATCAAGATCTGCAGTGTAAGTGCAGCCAAAGAGTCGAGGTGTAAATTTGTTTCTTTTAACGACAGCAGTAAAAAATAAATAAATAAATAAACAAAAAATTATTTGAAGTGTACAACTGTACTGGCTAAAAATGTTAATTTATTTTTATATCGTTTTTTTTTTTCCACAAAGTGTGCAGCTTTTGTCATTGCAGTGTTTCTTGGGGTTAATTGCTTACTAAATAAAGTATACTTTTATACTTGACCTTTACTTAAGTATACTTCTTTTTCCTAAGGGTGTATTTACTGACTTACCAAGATCAGTCTTGTGGAGCCAGGGGGAGTATTGCTGCTCTGACAGCCAAGTTGGGTTAAAGCTAGGGCTGCTCCGATCAGGATTTTTGCAGCTGATATCATTGAGTACCCATTTCTTGTCATGGTGATCGGCTAATACTGAACACCGATTCTAACGCCCTATTCACACGGGGCTTCAGCGTCAACGCTTGACAGAGGGCGTGTCTGAAGTTGGAGCTGAAACGATCGTCATAGAAGCGTCAGCCAATGAAATTCAGTCAGCAATAGGCCACTGTCTGAGCTGGTGTATTTGCATACAGCGATCTGATTGGCTGACGCTTCCGTCGGCGCTTGAAAAGTTGAGCTGGTCCCAACTTCTGCAGCGAGGAATGCTTCTGAAGCGGCGCCGACAGATCCACAATGCAGTTCGGCAACGCCTGACGTCACCCATTCAAAGTGAATGGGAAGCGTTGATGCTGACGCCCCGTGTGAATAGGGCGTAATGCTTCAAGTTTATAATGCTTTGAGCATATCTTCCTCTAAGTATGAACCTTAAGAGAAGATCTAGCCTTACCTAAGAGAACAAATGAAGGATGCTGCATATTATACCTTAAACACGTCTCTTATAACCATCTTATAACCAGGTGTGAGCATGTCATGGCCAGAAGCAGCTTTATAAGAAATAGTTCATCCATTAATTTTACTCTGGCGTAGTCCCTTGGTTATCAGGGGTCACCACAGCGGAATAAACCGCCACAGAAAATAATATAACACAGATATAAAAATTGTGATGAAAAATTACAATGCATTTTGGAAACACTGCAAATGATAAAAGAAGAATTCAACATGAATCAACCAAGAACAAGTTTGGAGCGTATGTTTGATGCATTAAAATTAAAATGCACACCTATGAGACTAAAACTTCTTTACTAAAAGGAAAGAGGTCTATAAACTACTGTTTATAGCAATGAGTGTATTACAAAAATGTATATAATTAAATATTCATGTAAAAAAACAAAACAAATTGTATCTAATAGTTCCAGCCAGCTTTTAGTGAACTTGCAATATAGTCAAAACAGAACTTTCAATTGTTATATATGTAAAGAGGCCTAAATACATGCAGGACCGTTCAAATGTTTTGCTGGTCTCCAACTAATAACAGCAGATCACTCAGAGATAGAGGGATTTGCACTCGCGATATCTTTACTGCTCTATTCAATTAATGCTTAGAACAATACTGTGCCTCTCGCGATCTGTTGTCTTGCACATTCACTCTCGTCGCCGTGATTTCCGAGTATTATAACTTATTTTGGGGGATCACAGGGCCGGTATAAATTTGCGGGAGACTCGCGGAGCTTCTGGGAGAGGTCAGGTTGGATGAGACGCAGGATGGGGGAGAACGCGTCACAGCAGCTCAAAACACTGGAGATACAATGACTGCACTTGCAACAAAGCATGCATCACTCGCGCGGGTCATGCTAATGAACTAAACAGAGGTCCCATCGCATCTGTATATACTTTAGCTGCTGCGACCAAGCACATTACTTACGCCCCCACACGTTGGCCCACTCCCAATTCTACCCCGTAGCCCTTCCCCTTGCCCCTTCCCCTCGTTTTGCGCGTCAAGGGGTAGGGGTGTCCCAATTCTCTTTAGCTTGAAGGCGTAGGGCTAAGGGGAAGGGGTGAATAGCCCTTCGAACAAAGATTTTTCAGGACCACACTCGAAACCAAGGGATCAGAAAATTTCCCAGAACACACCAGCCACAACGGCAGATAGTTACACCCGGAAGTAAGGAGATCCACAAATTAGTATTTTGTTGTTACAAATTACAAATGTTTACAAGAGACAAACACATGTTTGAATATATTCCTGGCGACGTAGGTGTTTTACCGTCATGCTTTAAAAAAAACCCCCGCTAAAATAAAAACCGGTAAATTTCGCAATCTATAGTCCATAATCATAACTCCTGTATAGCAGTCCCACAGCATTCTGTCACTCGATGACACTCGAATACTCTGTCGAAAAGTCTAATGGCCAGGATTGGGCTTTTTACGGTGTCTGCTATAATGTTAATGTTGTTTTTGCTGTGTTTACATAGATAAATATGGCCACTGTGTTAAATGCGCAGTATTATGATCTTAGTGTCGCATCAGACCGTTATGAAAACACAACATATGCCTTCAGTGATTTCCTGAAGATAAATACCAATAAATAACTCGACTGGAATAACTACAGCAGTCGCGATCGTCTAATCTCATATTTTCTAATCTCATATCGTATCAGAGATGGCGATGACATATGATGACGAGTGCAGGTGCTGTAGTGCTGTCCCAATTCTTAGGGGTACGTTTTGAAGCCCTTCCCCTTCACCCTCGGTTTTAAGGGCCAGGGGGAAGGGGTAGGGGTACAAAAAAATAAAATTGGGATTGGGCCATCTTTTACCTTTGTTTTGGCTGCTGCAGGCTATGCATAATATACGTAAGTGCACGTGCGTCTTGGGTCCTGTCAAACGTGGCACACAGTTTCATTCCCATTCAGCATACAGTGGCTGTGTAGAACTCCACTGTGGGCGATTCAGAGAGCAGAAATATGTAATGGAGCGACCATGTAGAGACCGAAATCACATGCCGTTGTGTAAATAAGACATTACATACGGCTATTTAGCTCGTTTATTAAAAGAAGTTGTGATCTGGTGCTATGTATAAAATACAATTAACTTGACCTCAAGGGGGGCGGGAAGCCCCCCCCCCCCCAATATAATGGTGGGGAAAACACTGTGGGCCTAGAGTGGCACCGGAATCTTCAGGCGAAACCCAATTTTGAATCGTGCCAAGTGGTCGGTGACCTCATTGAGTGTTACGTGTTGTGCTAGAGGCCCATACTGTTTGAGAGTTTGCATCTGGTTGCAGTGTGTGCAAGTAACCTGATCGTAACTGCAGTAGGCGTTGGGGAAAGTCTAGCCAGATAGCTCATCATTGCGATTTTCATCTGGATGCCTTTTAACTCACCATCAAAGGTCAAGAAGCATGTAAAGCCTAGTCTGAACCTGAACCACAATAGGACTATTCACGTTATTCTTTGCCGACGAGCGGGCGCAGCCATTTGAATCTTTTTGGCTCAAGACTTCCGGTCTCGTTGTATCAGTTGCAAACTGATATTTTCCTATTATATTAGTCTACTTAGTCGGTATAGTAATGCAAACATTTGTTTGTAGAGTAAGTAGTTTGACCGTTTTCTGCCGTTTATTATTCCTAGTCATTTTTCCCATAGGCGACTGATGCGGAAGTTCTGAAACAATCGTGAAAACAGGCGCACTTCCGCATTTTAGAATAAGGTCAATAGACCCTCTGTAGAACCTCTATGTTTCTCTGTACACTCATTTATTCCAGTGCTATGCTGTTTTGTTTAGCTTATCGTAGCGCTATCGTTTAGCGTAACGTAGAAATCAACTATTATATAGCCACCCTAGTTCAACATCACAGTGTCTGGCCCACAGTGGTTTTTAAAAGGACCAACGTCTGGCCTGTACATTTTCCCCCAGCTGATGACCCTGTCAGCCTAGTAATGTATATATGTTAGACTGGTCAATAAGTCATGCTATAACCACGTTGGATTGTGGATGTTTTGCCTCACAGAAAAGGTCAATTTAACGTTGGAGCCTTGCTACAAGCTTTACTTGAACAAGTTTCCTAGAGATGTATATCAACGAAGTAGAACTACTTCACTACTGTACTTAAGTACTAAAAGGCTGTATCTGTACTCTACTGGAGTATTGTTTTTTTACTCCTCCTTCCACTTTTACTTCAGTACATATTTTCGATGAGTTTAATACTCCGATAGATTCTTTATGTGCTGCGTCGTTACTCGTTACTAGGGGTGTCAAAATTATTTTTATCGGTTCAGCAAGAGATCACAACCGGTTATTACGCACTGACGTCATTTATCTCCTATGCGCGATGTCACAGTAGAATGCTATGGTAAAGGAGGCGAGGCCGAGTGTCGCTCTTACTACAATGAAGGTGGCACAGCACACGAGCCGCTATTTCACTACTAGGGTGAAATGCTGTAAGAATCCACCTGTGCCTCTCTCTCTCTCTCTCTCTCTCTTACTTTGGACATTTGACCCGCTGACCTGTTTGTGAGGTCACTTTTCCTCTCCACTTGACTGTTCAAGCGATACTTGTGGATCAAGACACGAGCGTGCCTGTGGTACAAGTTTTCTCCACTGTTTCTTTCACGGATTACCTGTGATATGCGCGTATTATGCGCATATAGAGTGTAACCGTAGCAGTTTTTTCACGCCATCGGTAAACAGCGATTTAATTTCTAAAGCCGATCGCAGCCCTTTCTGTTGAGCAGGGTAAGACAATAACCAATCATAGGGGTGTTAGACCTCGCCTGTCAGCGCTCTAAAAGCAAGCAGGATGATATTTACATTAGTTTATTAGCTATAAATGCTCACGCTGTCTTCTGTGCATGTGTTGGAGTTTTGTTTGATACTTTCAGAAAGAGTGTTGTCTTTGAGCAGGTCAAATTAAGGGTCTGCTGTATTAAAGAACAAAATTGTATTACAAACAATATATATAAATATATTTATAGATTTTGATCAAAAAAAAAAAAATCTTGTGTTGTGAAGAAAAAATAGAATTATGTATGGAAAGCATCGTCAATCCACCGAGATATCGAAATGAACCGAATCGATGGCATGATAATCATAACCGAACCAACCCGTCAGACCAGTGTAGATTCACACCCCTACTCGTTACATTTATAGACCTTTTTCTTGGTTGCTGCATCGAGGGCGCCATAGCGACCAGCGTCTTCCGGTAGAATGTTTTGAACATCCGCTTACAGCGTTTACAACTGGTAATTTGCAATGCGAAAATGGGCTTCAATAGCGTTTTGAGTGGATTACAGAGTGTTTTTGTGACACACAACTTTAAAAGGTGTGTGTTAAAGCTGTTATAATCTGTCAGATCTGTGATTCAAGCGCGAGAGAAAAACAGTATCGTAAGCCATGTTTCTTTTCATACTGCTTAATCACGTGCCCCCCCCCCCCCAAAAGATATTTAAACTAAACAAAAGAATATGGTGTCTTTTGACTGCTTTTTTTTTTAATAACGACGTTACACAATACATAATATGTATTTTTAATTTCAGTACTTGAGCAGTAAACTTTGAAATAAACTACTTGCAATACTGAAGTACAAAAAGTGTTGATACTTCCACTTAAGTATGGTGCTTAAAGAGCACTTCAACTTCTACTCAAGTCACTTTTTTTAAAGAGCACTTGTAGTTTTAGCTAAGTCTGTGTCTCTAGTACTTTATCATTGTTCGAAATTAACCTTTTTGCTGGGTAAGACTGGTGCTCCTAACTTTAAAAATGTAGGCGCATCAACCAAAATTTAGTCTAACTTATAAACACAGTTACTAAAAGTTTTATACAAACATATTTATTGCATTTGAAATCAACAGTAATCAAACTAACAAGCAAAAAAAAAAAAAAAAATGCAAATTTGCAAGCGTGAGGAAAATGTGTCTCAACGAAATCCCGTTATCACAAGAAAATAGATTTTTATAACAAAACTGAGTGACCAAAGCATACAGGGACCGCAAACCGGCCCTGCACGCACTGCTTGACATTATTGAATCTGTAACTGATATAACTGTGCTGTTCTCACGGGTCGTGTCTAATATTGCACTGATGTTTTTGACATATACTGTACCTTATTTTATGCATACGTCATGTAGCGATACCGGTCTTTTCATGAGTAGCGGTATTAGTTTACTCAATGTAAGCCTGTTTGCGATGGTGTACGTGGTGTTAAATTTGACAAATAGCTGCCACTTGCACGGTGAACAGCTTATGGCGATTTTATGAAGGATTAAACAGAAGCTTTCGTGCTAGATGTGGCACGCAGTTACCGGAAAATTTCATCCCACAGACTTTTCATAGCGGACTTGAAGTCTTTTATCCACTCTTCGAAAAGTGTAGATGGTGGATTAACATTCAGCACGATCACTATTAAGATGTGTTATTATTTGTAACTTTATATGGCATGGTTTCAAAATCAAAATCTGTCAGTGTTATCTTCATTGTCATTTTCAGCGCTTTACGTTTTTCACGGTAGTAGTGCTCTCTGTCATCCCAAGCCAGAAGGCATTGACTGAGTGATTGACAGCTGATATTTCAATGCTAGAGCAGTGGGCCTATAAGAAGAGCGCGGAGGCGGGGCAAGCATTACGGACTTTGCTTTGTTTACTGCAGCAAGTTGATATGACAACGGTTTTAAACCAGTCCTGAGCACTGCGCTTCGCGTTTCAAGTGAAGAGATGCATTCTGCGTAAATGTCTTCGGAATCCGCGCATATGGTGAACATATTGCAGCAAAAAGTGGTCGCACACAACAATTTTATGCACTCGCACAAATGCTCCCAAATATATTTTTAGGTCGCATAAATAAAATTTCAGGCGCATATGCAACCAAAATGGTCGCAATTTTCAGCCCTGTTTATACATCTCTGATTCTGAGTATTCATAATTGATGATAGCTGGTTATTATTGCTCATTAAGATTCATGAAATTGAGCTAATTTCGCTACAGATTATGGTGGAGAATGCGGGCGGTCATTTTAAACGTTTTCTGTGAAGCAAAGTTTTTTATTCCACTGTGATTTTATTGTACTCACCAGCATGACCAAAGGTGTATGCAGCTGGCTGTCTGTCTCTCCACAGCTGGAAGGACGCACGTCTTTCAGCCATTCCCTAGCACACAGATGACTACTGTTAGTGTAACTATTAAACTGCAGTTCACAATATTCAAAATCGATTTTGCAAAGATGCACGTCATGCAAATGATTGAAATATTATCGCGCCTGTCGGAACAGCGATTTCCCTCAGTGCTTCTGAGATAGTTTGGAAAACCTCCAAATCTATCTGTTAAAGGCCTTACTATTGTAACTAGAGTGAGGCTAGGCGCCGTCTGTTTTTTCATATTTCTAGACTATATTCTGTTAGATAATCTGCCTAACGTTTGAACCTTTTGGTCGACCGTAGTCTCGCGAGACGTCTCGTATTTTATGGTTGTTTATCTAATCTATCTAAATGTAATGGTCAGATATCATAAATCAGTGTTACTGCGACACGATATGAGAAGTTGATTTTTACTTAGATTGGTTGGCCCAAAATAGTAGATTTTACAAGTACTGCCTTCATCTAAGGCTTTTATAGCCTTGTGTCTGTGTGGTTATGGTACAGGTTGTCCATTTTGCAAATCAAAAGATTGGGTTCATCTGTCTGACATAAGCTGACCCCTGCTGGAGGACACGTCAGATACCTTGGCCTTGTAACTCGGATTGCAAACCGCAGTGAGGCATCAGCAACAACGTACTCCAAGTAGGATCTACCGTGTCAGCTGGCATTCGGTCAATCTTGGTTAATTACCCTGTCATGATTCAACACGTGTGCCCGCCTAAGTGAGATTGGCAACCTCACTTTAAAGGCCAGTGTTTCCCCTAGGTTTACAGTTTTAGGGTGGGGGGTCTCGTCTCGGCGTGGCGCGGCGTATCTGTTCGGACTGACACCGACACAAAGGCCGCATTTACACTGCACTGTTCAAGTGACTCAATTCCGATTGTTTTCTTCCATGTGGCACAGATCTGATATGGCCCATGTACTTGTGAGCAGGAATAAATCACATGGATTCCGATTTACTCAAATCAGATTCAGGGCTTGTTCATATGTGGAAATTTATCCGATATGAATCGGATCTCTGTTTTCGTGTCTGCAGTTTAAGCAGGGTGATCAGATTTTCACCTGTCAATGAGAGTCGTGCATCAATAAAAATCGTAGCGAATGACGTCAAGTCTGACACTTTTTTTTCAGGACAGACTTCAGCAGAATCCCAAACCTTAAATCTCATACACGAGGACTTAAACAGCTTTTATTTTGTCATATAGCACAGGCATTTAAGCATGAGAGTGGAATGTCCGCTATGTAACCAATATAAACTAATATAAAACTGGTGCATAGCTACATCACGTGCATAAATCTCGTATGGGACATTACATTAAGATGCCTAAAGGTTTAAAAAAGGCATATATTAAAAGAAAATGGACAAATGAGAACCTTTCTGTCATAAACTATAGTAAAACAGCTTGTAAAAAGCTGCGAACAGATTCCATACAGGAATAGGGAAAAGAGCACTCTTAAATTATCAGCTGTTAGTCAGCGCCCGCTCTTTTTTTTCAGCTAATTGCGTCTTTGCCGTGTGCTCTGTAAATGTAGGCGATCGGAAACGAGTCACTTTTAAAAGATTATATTAGCAGGTCATCAAAAAAATCAGATACAGTCACAAAATCGGAAGTAACCATCAAGATCTGCAGTGTAAGTGCAGCCAAAGAGTCGAGGTGTAAATTTGTTTCTTTTAACGACAGCAGTAAAAAATAAATAAATAAATAAACAAAAAATTATTTGAAGTGTACAACTGTACTGGCTAAAAATGTTAATTTATTTTTATATCGTTTTTTTTTTTTCCACAAAGTGGGCAGCTTTTGTCATTGCAGGGTTTCTTGGGGTTAATTACTTACTAAATAAAGTATACTTTTATACTTGACCTTTACTTAAGTATACTTCTTTTTCCTAAGGGTGTATTTACTGACTTACCAAGATCAGTCTTGTGGAGCCAGGGGGAGTATTGCTGCTCTGACAGCCAAGTTGGGTTAAAGCTAGGGCTGCTCCGATCAGGATTTTTGCAGCTGATATCATTGAGTACCCATTTCTTGTCATGGTGATCGGCTAATACTGAACACCGATTCTAATGCTTCAAGCTTTATAATGCTTTGAGCACATCTTCCTCTAAGTATGAACCTTAAGAGAAGATCTAGCCTTACCTAAGAGAACAAATGAAGGATGCTGCATATTATACCTTAAACACGTCTCTTATAACCATCTTATAACCAGGTGTGAGCGTGTCATGGCCAGAAGCAGCTTTATAAGAAATAGTTCATCCATTAATTTTACTCTGGCGTAGTCCCTTGGTTATCAGGGGTCACCACAGCGGAATAAACCGCCACAGAAAATAATATAACACAGATATAAAAATTGTGATGAAAAATTACAATGCATTTTGGAAACACTGCAAATGATAAAAGAAGAATTCAACATGAATCAACCAAGAACAAGTTTGGAGCGTATGTTTGATGCATTAAAATTAAAATGCACACCAATGAGACTAAAACTTCTTTACTAAAAGGAAAGAGGTCTATAAACTACTGTTTATAGCAATGAGTGTATTACAAAAATGTATATAATTAAATATTCATGTAAAAAAACAAAACAAATTGTATCTAATAGTTCCAGCCAGCTTTTAGTGAACTTGCAATATAGTCAAAACAGAACTTTCAATTGTTATATATGTAAAGAGGCCTAAATACATGCAGGACCGTTCAAATGTTTTGCTGGTCTCCAACTAATAACAGCAGATCACTCAGAGATAGAGGGATTTGCACTCGCGATATCTTTACTGCTCTATTCAATTAATGCTTAGAACAATACTGTGCCTCTCGCGATCTGTTGTCTTGCACATTCACTCTCGTCGCTGTGATTTCCGAGTATTATAACTTATTTTGGGGGATCACAGGGCCGGTATAAATTTGCGGGAGACTCGCGGAGCTTCCGGGAGAGGTCAGGTTGGATGAGACGCAGGATGGGGGAGAACGCGTCACAGCAGCTCAAAACACTGGAGATACAATGACTGCACTTGCAACAAAGCATGCATCACTCGCGCGGGTCACGCTAATGAACTAAACAGAGGTCCCATCGCATCTGTATATACTTTAGCTGCTGCGACCGAGCACATTACTTACGCCCCCACACGTTGGCCCACTCCCAATTCTACCCCGTAGCCCTTCCCCTTGCCCCTTCCCCTCGTTTTGCGCGTCAAGGGGTAGGGGTGTCCCAATTCTCTTTAGCTTGAAGGCGTAGGGCTAAGGGGAAGGGGTGAATAGCCCTTCGAACAAAGATTTTTCAGGACCACACTCGAAACCAAGGGATCGGAAAATTTCCCAGAACACACCAGCCACAACGGCAGATAGTTACACCCGGAAGTAAGGAGATCCACAAATTAGTATTTTGTTGTTACAAATTACAAATGTTTACAAGAGACAAACACATGTTTGAATATATTCCTGACGACGTAGGTGTTTTACCGTCATGCTTTAAAAAAAACCCCCGCTAAAATAAAAACCGGTAAATTTCGCAATCTATAGTCCATAATCATAACTCCTGTATAGCAGTCCCACAGCATTCTGTCACTCGATGACACTCGAATACTCTGTCGAAAAGTCTAATGGCCAGGATTGGGCTTTTTACGGTGTCTGCTATAATGTTAATGTTGTTTTTGCTGTGTTTACATAGATAAATATGGCCACTGTGTTAAATGCGCAGTATTATGATCTTAGTGTCGCATCAGACCGTTATGATAACACAACATATGCCTTCAGTGATTTCCTGAAGATAAATACCAATAAATAACTCGACTGGAATAACTACAGCAGTCGCGATCGTCTAATCTCATATTTTCTAATCTCATATCGTATCAGAGATGGCGATGACATATGATGACGAGTGCAGGTGCTGTAGTGCTGTCCCAATTCTTAGGGGTACGTTTTGAAGCCCTTCCCCTTCACCCTCGGTTTTAAGGGCCAGGGGGAAGGGGTAGGGGTACAAAAAAATAAAATTGGGATTGGGCCATCTTTTACCTTTGTTTTGGCTGCTGCAGGCTATGCATAATATACGTAAGTGCACGTGCGTCTTGGGTCCTGTCAATCGTGAAAACAGGCGCACTTCCGCATTTTAGAATAAGGTCAATAGACCCTCTGTAGAACCTCTATGTTTCTCTGTACACTCATTTATTCCAGTGCTATGCTGTTTTGTTTAGCTTATCGTAGCGCTATCGTTTAGCGTAACGTAGAAATCAACTATTATATAGCCACCCTAGTTCAACATCACAGTGTCTGGCCCACAGTGGTTTTTAAAAGGACCAACGTCTGGCCTGTACATTTTCCCCCAGCTGATGACCCTGTCAGCCTAGTAATGTATATATGTTAGACTGGTCAATAAGTCATGCTATAACCACGTTGGATTGTGGATGTTTTGCCTCACAGAAAAGGTCAATTTAACGTTGGAGCCTTGCTACAAGCTTTACTTGAACAAGTTTCCTAGAGATGTATATCAACGAAGTAGAACTACTTCACTACTGTACTTAAGTACTAAAAGGCTGTATCTGTACTCTACTGGAGTATTGTTTTTTTACTCCTCCTTCCACTTTTACTTCAGTACATATTTTCGATGAGTTTAATACTCCGATAGATTCTTTATGTGCTGCGTCGTTACTCGTTACTAGGGGTGTCAAAATTATTTTTATCGGTTCAGCAAGAGATCACAACCGGTTATTACACACTGACGTCATTTATCTCCTATGCGCGATGTCGCAGTAGAATGCTATGGTAAAGGAGGCGAGGCCGAGTGTCGCTCTTACTACAATGAAGGCGGCACAGCACACGAGCCGCTATTTCACTACTAGGGTGAAATGCTGTAAGAATCCACCTGTGCCTCTCTCTCTCTCTCTCTCTCTCTCTTACTTTGGACATTTGACCCGCTGACCTGTTTGTGAGGTCACTTTTCCTCTCCACTTGACTGTTCAAGCGATACTTGTGGATCAAGACACGAGCGTGCCTGTGGTACAAGTTTTCTCCACTGTTTCTTTCACGGATTACCTGTGATATGCGCGTATTATGCGCATATAGAGTGTAACCGTAGCAGTTTTTTCACGCCATCGGTAAACAGCGATTTAATTTCTAAAGCCGATCGCAGCCCTTTCTGTTGAGCAGGGTAAGACAATAACCAATCATAGGGGTGTTAGACCTCGCCTGTCAGCGCTCTAAAAGCAAGCAGGATGATATTTACATTAGTTTATTAGCTATAAATGCTCACGCTGTCTTCTGTGCATGTGTTGGAGTTTTGTTTGATACTTTCAGAAAGAGTGTTGTCTTTGAGCAGGTCAAATTAAGGGTCTGCTGTATTAAAGAACAAAATTGTATTACAAACAATATATATAAATATATTTATAGATTTTGATCAAAAAAAAAAAATCTTGTGTTGTGAAGAAAAAATAGAATTATGTATGGAAAGCATCGTCAATCCACCGAGATATCGAAATGAACCGAATCGATGGCATGATAATCATAACCGAACCAACCCGTCAGACCAGTGTAGATTCACACCCCTACTCGTTACATTTATAGACCTTTTTCTTGGTTGCTGCATGGAGGGCGCCATAGCGACCAGCGTCTTCCGGTAGAATGTTTTGAACATCCGCTTACAGCGTTTACAACTGGTAATTTGCAATGCGAAAATGGGCTTCAATAGCGTTTTGAGTGGATTACAGAGTGTTTTTGTGACACACAACTTTAAAAGGTGTGTGTTAAAGCTGTTATAATCTGTCAGATCTGTGATTCAAGCGCGAGAGAAAAACAGTATCGTAAGCCATGTTTCTTTTCATACTGCTTAATCACGTGCCCCCCCCCCCAAAAGATATTTAAACTAAACAAAAGAATATGGTGTCTTTTGACTGCTTTTTTTTTTAATAACGACGTTACACAATACATAATATGTATTTTTAATTTCAGTACTTGAGCAGTAAACTTTGAAATAAACTACTTGCAATACTGAAGTACAAAAAGTGTTGATACTTCCACTTAAGTATGGTGCTTAAAGAGCACTTCAACTTCTACTCAAGTCACTTTTTTTAAAGAGCACTTGTAGTTTTAGCTAAGTCTGTGTCTCTAGTACTTTATCATTGTTCGAAATTAACCTTTTTGCTGGGTAAGACTGGTGCTCCTAACTTTAAAAATGTAGGCGCATCAACCAAAATTTAGTCTAACTTATAAACACAGTTACTAAAAGTTTTATACAAACATATTTATTGCATTTGAAATCAACAGTAATCAAACTAACAAGCAAAAAAAAAAAAAAAAATGCAAATTTGCAAGCGTGAGGAAAATGTGTCTCAACGAAATCCCGTTATCACAAGAAAATAGATTTTTATAACAAAACTGAGTGACCAAAGCATACAGGGACCGCAAACCGGCCCTGCACGCACTGCTTGACATGATTGAATCTGTAACTGATATAACTGTGCTGTTCTCACGGGTCGTGTCTAATATTGCACTGATGTTTTTGACATATACTGTACCTTATTTTATGCATACGTCATGTAGCGATACCGGTCTTTTCATGAGTAGCGGTATTAGTTTACTCAATGTAAGCCTGTTTGCGATGGTGTACGTGGTGTTAAATTTGACAAATAGCTGCCACTTGCACGGTGAACAGCTTATGGCGATTTTATGAAGGATTAAACAGAAGCTTTCGTGCTAGATGTGGCACGCAGTTACCGGAAAATTTCATCCCACAGACTTTTCATAGCGGACTTGAAGTCTTTTATCCACTCTTCGAAAAGTGTAGATGGTGGATTAACATTCAGCACGATCACTGTTAAGATGTGTTATTATTTGTAACTTTAGATGGCATGGTTTCAAAATCAAAATCTGTCAGTGTTATCTTCATTGTCATTTTCAGCGCTTTACGTTTTTCACGGTAGTAGTGCTCTCTGTCATCCCAAGCCAGAAGGCATTGACTGAGTGATTGACAGCTGATATTTCAATGCTAGAGCAGTGGGCCTATAAGAAGAGCGCGGAGGCGGGGCAAGCATTACGGACTTTGCTTTGTTTACTGCAGCAAGTTGATATGACAACGGTTTTAAACCAGTCCTGAGCACTGCGCTTCGCGTTTCAAGTGAAGAGATGCATTCTGCGTAAATGTCTTCGGAATCCGCGCATATGGTGAACATATTGCAGCAAAAAGTGGTCGCACACAACAATTTTATGCACTCGCACAAATGCTCCCAAATATATTTTTAGGTCGCATAAATAAAATTTCAGGCGCATATGCAACCAAAATGGTCGCAATTTTCAGCCCTGTTTATACATCTCTGATTCTGAGTATTCATAATTGATGATAGCTGGTTATTATTGCTCATTAAGATTCATGAAATTGAGCTAATTTCGCTACAGATTATGGTGGAGAATGCGGGCGGTCATTTTAAACGTTTTCTGTGAAGCAAAGTTTTTTATTCCACTGTGATTTTATTGTACTCACCAGCATGACCAAAGGTGTATGCAGCTGGCTGTCTGTCTCTCCACAGCTGGAAGGACGCACGTCTTTCAGCCATTCCCTAGCACACAGATGACTACTGTTAGTGTAACTATTAAACTGCAGTTCACAATATTCAAAATCGATTTTGCAAAGATGCACGTCATGCAAATGATTGAAATATTATCGCGCCTGTCGGAACAGCGATTTCCCTCAGTGCTTCTGAGATAGTTTGGAAAACCTCCAAATCTATCTGTTAAAGGCCTTACTATTGTAACTAGAGTGAGGCTAGGCGCCGTCTGTTTTTTCATATTTCTAGACTATATTCTGTTAGATAATCTGCCTAACGTTTGAACCTTTTGGTCGACCGTAGTCTCGCGAGACGTCTCGTATTTTATGGTTGTTTATCTAATCTATCTAAATGTAATGGTCAGATATCATAAATCAGTGTTACTGCGACACGATATGAGAAGTTGATTTTTACTTAGATTGGTTGGCCCAAAATAGTAGATTTTACAAGTACTGCCTTCATCTAAGGCTTTTATAGCCTTGTGTCTGTGTGGTTATGGTACAGGTTGTCCATTTTGCAAATCAAAAGATTGGGTTCATCTGTCTGACATAAGCTGACCCCTGCTGGAGGACACGTCAGATACCTTGGCCTTGTAACTCGGATTGCAAACCGCAGTGAGGCATCAGCAACAACGTACTCCAAGTAGGATCTACCGTGTCAGCTGGCATTCGGTCAATCTTGGTTAATTACCCTGTCATGATTCCACACGTGTGCCCGCCTAAGTGAGATTGGCAACCTCACTTTAAAGGCCAGTGTTTCCCCTAGGTTTACAGTTTTAGGGTGGGGGGTCTCGTCTCGGCGTGGCGCGGCGTATCTGTTCGGACTGACACCGACACAAAGGCCGCATTTACACTGCACTGTTCAAGTGACTCAATTCCGATTGTTTTCTTCCATGTGGCACAGATCTGATATGGCCCATGTACTTGTGAGCAGGAATAAATCACATGGATTCCGATTTACTCAAATCAGATTCAGGGCTTGTTCATATGTGGAAATTTATCCGATATGAATCGGATCTCTGTTTTCGTGTCTGCAGTTTAAGCAGGGTGATCAGATTTTCACCTGTCAATGAGAGTCGTGCATCAATAAAAATCGTAGCGAATGACGTCAAGTCTGACACTTTTTTTTCAGGACAGACTTCAGCAGAATCCCAAACCTTAAATCTCATACACGAGGACTTAAACAGCTTTTATTTTGTCATATAGCACAGGCATTTAAGCATGAGAGTGGAATGTCCGCTATGTAACCAATATAAACTAATATAAAACTGGTGCATAGCTACATCACGTGCATAAATCTCGTATGGGACATTACATTAAGATGCCTAAAGGTTTAAAAAAGGCATATATTAAAAGAAAATGGACAAATGAGAACCTTTCTGTCATAAACTATAGTAAAACAGCTTGTAAAAAGCTGCGAACAGATTCCATACAGGAATAGGGAAAAGAGCACTCTTAAATTATCAGCTGTTAGTCAGCGCCCGCTCTTTTTTTTCAGCTAATTGCGTCTTTGCCGTGTGCTCTGTAAATGTAGGCGATCGGAAACGAGTCACTTTTAAAAGATTATATTAGCAGGTCATCAAAAAAATCAGATACAGTCACAAAATCGGAAGTAACCATCAAGATCTGCAGTGTAAGTGCAGCCAAAGAGTCGAGGTGTAAATTTGTTTCTTTTAACGACAGCAGTAAAAAATAAATAAATAAATAAATAAACAAAAAATTATTTGAAGTGTACAACTGTACTGGCTAAAAATGTTAATTTATTTTTATATCGTTTTTTTTTTTTTTCCACAAAGTGGGCAGCTTTTGTCATTGCAGTGTTTCTTGGGGTTAATTACTTACTAAATAAAGTATACTTTTATACTTGACCTTTACTTAAGTATACTTCTTTTTCCTAAGGGTGTATTTACTGACTTACCAAGATCAGTCTTGTGGAGCCAGGGGGAGTATTGCTGCTCTGACAGCCAAGTTGGGTTAAAGCTAGGGCTGCTCCGATCAGGATTTTTGCAGCTGATATCATTGAGTACCCATTTCTTGTCATGGTGATCGGCTAATACTGAACACCGATTCTAATGCTTCAAGCTTTATAATGCTTTGAGCACATCTTCCTCTAAGTATGAACCTTAAGAGAAGATCTAGCCTTACCTAAGAGAACAAATGAAGGATGCTGCATATTATACCTTAAACACGTCTCTTATAACCATCTTATAACCAGGTGTGAGCGTGTCATGGCCAGAAGCAGCTTTATAAGAAATAGTTCATCCATTAATTTTACTCTGGCGTAGTCCCTTGGTTATCAGGGGTCACCACAGCGGAATAAACCGCCACAGAAAATAATATAACACAGATATAAAAATTGTGATGAAAAATTACAATGCATTTTGGAAACACTGCAAATGATAAAAGAAGAATTCAACATGAATCAACCAAGAACAAGTTTGGAGCGTATGTTTGATGCATTAAAATTAAAATGCACACCAATGAGACTAAAACTTCTTTACTAAAAGGAAAGAGGTCTATAAACTACTGTTTATAGCAATGAGTGTATTACAAAAATGTATATAATTAAATATTCATGTAAAAAAACAAAACAAATTGTATCTAATAGTTCCAGCCAGCTTTTAGTGAACTTGCAATATAGTCAAAACAGAACTTTCAATTGTTATATATGTAAAGAGGCCTAAATACATGCAGGACCGTTCAAATGTTTTGCTGGTCTCCAACTAATAACAGCAGATCACTCAGAGATAGAGGGATTTGCACTCGCGATATCTTTACTGCTCTATTCAATTAATGCTTAGAACAATACTGTGCCTCTCGCGATCTGTTGTCTTGCACATTCACTCTCGTCGCTGTGATTTCCGAGTATTATAACTTATTTTGGGGGATCACAGGGCCGGTATAAATTTGCGGGAGACTCGCGGAGCTTCCGGGAGAGGTCAGGTTGGATGAGACGCAGGATGGGGGAGAACGCGTCACAGCAGCTCAAAACACTGGAGATACAATGACTGCACTTGCAACAAAGCATGCATCACTCGCGCGGGTCACGCTAATGAACTAAACAGAGGTCCCATCGCATCTGTATATACTTTAGCTGCTGCGACCGAGCACATTACTTACGCCCCCACACGTTGGCCCACTCCCAATTCTACCCCGTAGCCCTTCCCCTTGCCCCTTCCCCTCGTTTTGCGCGTCAAGGGGTAGGGGTGTCCCAATTCTCTTTAGCTTGAAGGCGTAGGGCTAAGGGGAAGGGGTGAATAGCCCTTCGAACAAAGATTTTTCAGGACCACACTCGAAACCAAGGGATCATAAAATTTCCCAGAACACACCAGCCACAACGGCAGATAGTTACACCCGGAAGTAAGGAGATCCACAAATTAGTATTTTGTTGTTACAAATTACAAATGTTTACAAGAGACAAACACATGTTTGAATATATTCCTGACGACGTAGGTGTTTTACCGTCATGCTTTAAAAAAAACCCCCGCTAAAATAAAAACCGGTAAATTTCGCAATCTATAGTCCATAATCATAACTCCTGTATAGCAGTCCCACAGCATTCTGTCACTCGATGACACTCGAATACTCTGTCGAAAAGTCTAATGGCCAGGATTGGGCTTTTTACGGTGTCTGCTATAATGTTAATGTTGTTTTTGCTGTGTTTACATAGATAAATATGGCCACTGTGTTAAATGCGCAGTATTATGATCTTAGTGTCGCATCAGACCGTTATGATAACACAACATATGCCTTCAGTGATTTCCTGAAGATAAATACCAATAAATAACTCGACTGGAATAACTACAGCAGTCGCGATCGTCTAATCTCATATTTTCTAATCTCATATCGTATCAGAGATGGCGATGACATATGATGACGAGTGCAGGTGCTGTAGTGCTGTCCCAATTCTTAGGGGTACGTTTTGAAGCCCTTCCCCTTCACCCTCGGTTTTAAGGGCCAGGGGGAAGGGGTAGGGGTACAAAAAAATAAAATTGGGATTGGGCCATCTTTTACCTTTGTTTTGGCTGCTGCAGGCTATGCATAATATACGTAAGTGCACGTGCGTCTTGGGTCCTGTCAAACGTGGCACACAGTTTCATTCCCATTCAGCATACAGTGGCTGTGTAGAACTCCACTGTGGGCGATTCAGAGAGCAGAAATATGTAATGGAGCGACCATGTAGAGACCGAAATCACATGCCGTTGTGTAAATAAGACATTACATACGGCTATTTAGCTCGTTTATTAAAAGAAGTTGTGATCTGGTGCTATGTATAAAATACAATTAACTTGACCTCAAGGGGGGCGGGAAGCCCCCCCCCCAATATAATGGTGGGGAAAACACTGTGGGCCTAGAGTGGCACCGGAATCTTCAGGCGAAACCCAATTTTGAATCGTGCCAAGTGGTCGGTGACCTCATTGAGTGTTACGTGTTGTGCTAGAGGCCCATACTGTTTGAGAGTTTGCATCTGGTTGCAGTGTGTGCAAGTAACCTGATCGTAACTGCAGTAGGCGTTGGGGAAAGTCTAGCCAGATAGCTCATCATTGCGATTTTCATCTGGATGCCTTTTAACTCACCATCAAAGGTCAAGAAGCATGTAAAGCCTAGTCTGAACCTGAACCACAATAGGACTATTCACGTTATTCTTTGCCGACGAGTGGGCGCAGCCATTTGAATCTTTTTGGCTCAAGACTTCCGGTCTCGTTGTATCAGTTGCAAACTGATATTTTCCTATTATATTATTCTACTTAGTCGGTTTAGTAATGCAAACATTTGTTTGTAGAGTAAGTAGTTTGACCGTTTTCTGCCGTTTATTATTCCTAGTCATTTTTCCCATAGGCGACTGATGCGGAAGTTCTGAAACAATCGTGAAAACAGGCGCACTTCCGCATTTTAGAATAAGGTCAATAGACCCTCTGTAGAACCTCTATGTTTCTCTGTACACTCATTTATTCCAGTGCTATGCTGTTTTGTTTAGCTTATCGTAGCGCTATCGTTTAGCGTAACGTAGAAATCAACTATTATATAGCCACCCTAGTTCAACATCACAGTGTCTGGCCCACAGTGGTTTTTAAAAGGACCAACGTCTGGCCTGTACATTTTCCCCCAGCTGATGACCCTGTCAGCCTAGTAATGTATATATGTTAGACTGGTCAATAAGTCATGCTATAACCACGTTGGATTGTGGATGTTTTGCCTCACAGAAAAGGTCAATTTAACATTGGAGCCTTGCTACAAGCTTTACTTGAACAAGTTTCCTAGAGATGTATATCAACGAAGTAGAACTACTTCACTACTGTACTTAAGTACTAAAAGGCTGTATCTGTACTCTACTGGAGTATTGTTTTTTTACTCCTCCTTCCACTTTTACTTCAGTACATATTTTCGATGAGTTTAATACTCCGATAGATTCTTTATGTGCTGCGTCGTTACTCGTTACTAGGGGTGTCAAAATTATTTTTATCGGTTCAGCAAGAGATCACAACCGGTTATTACACACTGACGTCATTTATCTCCTATGCGCGATGTCGCAGTAGAATGCTATGGTAAAGGAGGCGAGGCCGAGTGTCGCTCTTACTACAATGAAGGCGGCACAGCACACGAGCCGCTATTTCACTACTAGGGTGAAATGCTGTAAGAATCCACCTGTGCCTCTCTCTCTCTCTCTCTCTCTCTCTCTTACTTTGGACATTTGACCCGCTGACCTGTTTGTGAGGTCACTTTTCCTCTCCACTTGACTGTTCAAGCGATACTTGTGGATCAAGACACGAGCGTGCCTGTGGTACAAGTTTTCTCCACTGTTTCTTTCACGGATTACCTGTGATATGCGCGTATTATGCGCATATAGAGTGTAACCGTAGCAGTTTTTTCACGCCATCGGTAAACAGCGATTTAATTTCTAAAGCCGATCGCAGCCCTTTCTGTTGAGCAGGGTAAGACAATAACCAATCATAGGGGTGTTAGACCTCGCCTGTCAGCGCTCTAAAAGCAAGCAGGATGATATTTACATTAGTTTATTAGCTATAAATGCTCACGCTGTCTTCTGTGCATGTGTTGGAGTTTTGTTTGATACTTTCAGAAAGAGTGTTGTCTTTGAGCAGGTCAAATTAAGGGTCTGCTGTATTAAAGAACAAAATTGTATTACAAACAATATATATAAATATATTTATAGATTTTGATCAAAAAAAAAAAATCTTGTGTTGTGAAGAAAAAATAGAATTATGTATGGAAAGCATCGTCAATCCACCGAGATATCGAAATGAACCGAATCGATGGCATGATAATCATAACCGAACCAACCCGTCAGACCAGTGTAGATTCACACCCCTACTCGTTACATTTATAGACCTTTTTCTTGGTTGCTGCATGGAGGGCGCCATAGCGACCAGCGTCTTCCGGTAGAATGTTTTGAACATCCGCTTACAGCGTTTACAACTGGTAATTTGCAATGCGAAAATGGGCTTCAATAGCGTTTTGAGTGGATTACAGAGTGTTTTTGTGACACACAACTTTAAAAGGTGTGTGTTAAAGCTGTTATAATCTGTCAGATCTGTGATTCAAGCGCGAGAGAAAAACAGTATCGTAAGCCATGTTTCTTTTCATACTGCTTAATCACGTGCCCCCCCCCCCCAAAAGATATTTAAACTAAACAAAAGAATATGGTGTCTTTTGACTGCTTTTTTTTTTAATAACGACGTTACACAATACATAATATGTATTTTTAATTTCAGTACTTGAGCAGTAAACTTTGAAATAAACTACTTGCAATACTGAAGTACAAAAAGTGTTGATACTTCCACTTAAGTATGGTGCTTAAAGAGCACTTCAACTTCTACTCAAGTCACTTTTTTTAAAGAGCACTTGTAGTTTTAGCTAAGTCTGTGTCTCTAGTACTTTATCATTGTTCGAAATTAACCTTTTTGCTGGGTAAGACTGGTGCTCCTAACTTTAAAAATGTAGGCGCATCAACCAAAATTTAGTCTAACTTATAAACACAGTTACTAAAAGTTTTATACAAACATATTTATTGCATTTGAAATCAACAGTAATCAAACTAACAAGCAAAAAAAAAAAAAAAAATGCAAATTTGCAAGCGTGAGGAAAATGTGTCTCAACGAAATCCCGTTATCACAAGAAAATAGATTTTTATAACAAAACTGAGTGACCAAAGCATACAGGGACCGCAAACCCGCCCTGCACGCACTGCTTGACATTATTGAATCTGTAACTGATATAACTGTGCTGTTCTCACGGGTCGTGTCTAATATTGCACTGATGTTTTTGACATATACTGTACCTTATTTTATGCATACGTCATGTAGCGATACCGGTCTTTTCATGAGTAGCGGTATTAGTTTACTCAATGTAAGCCTGTTTGCGATGGTGTACGTGGTGTTAAATTTGACAAATAGCTGCCACTTGCACGGTGAACAGCTTATGGCGATTTTATGAAGGATTAAACAGAAGCTTTCGTGCTAGATGTGGCACGCAGTTACCGGAAAATTTCATCCCACAGACTTTTCATAGCGGACTTGAAGTCTTTTATCCACTCTTCGAAAAGTGTAGATGGTGGATTAACATTCAGCACGATCACTGTTAAGATGTGTTATTATTTGTAACTTTAGATGGCATGGTTTCAAAATCAAAATCTGTCAGTGTTATCTTCATTGTCATTTTCAGCGCTTTACGTTTTTCACGGTAGTAGTGCTCTCTGTCATCCCAAGCCAGAAGGCATTGACTGAGTGATTGACAGCTGATATTTCAATGCTAGAGCAGTGGGCCTATAAGAAGAGCGCGGAGGCGGGGCAAGCATTACGGACTTTGCTTTGTTTACTGCAGCAAGTTGATATGACAACGGTTTTAAACCAGTCCTGAGCACTGCGCTTCGCGTTTCAAGTGAAGAGATGCATTCTGCGTAAATGTCTTCGGAATCCGCGCATATGGTGAACATATTGCAGCAAAAAGTGGTCGCACACAACAATTTTATGCACTCGCACAAATGCTCCCAAATATATTTTTAGGTCGCATAAATAAAATTTCAGGCGCATATGCAACCAAAATGGTCGCAATTTTCAGCCCTGTTTATACATCTCTGATTCTGAGTATTCATAATTGATGATAGCTGGTTATTATTGCTCATTAAGATTCATGAAATTGAGCTAATTTCGCTACAGATTATGGTGGAGAATGCGGGCGGTCATTTTAAACGTTTTCTGTGAAGCAAAGTTTTTTATTCCACTGTGATTTTATTGTACTCACCAGCATGACCAAAGGTGTATGCAGCTGGCTGTCTGTCTCTCCACAGCTGGAAGGACGCACGTCTTTCAGCCATTCCCTAGCACACAGATGACTACTGTTAGTGTAACTATTAAACTGCAGTTCACAATATTCAAAATCGATTTTGCAAAGATGCACGTCATGCAAATGATTGAAATATTATCGCGCCTGTCGGAACAGCGATTTCCCTCAGTGCTTCTGAGATAGTTTGGAAAACCTCCAAATCTATCTGTTAAAGGCCTTACTATTGTAACTAGAGTGAGGCCAGGCGCCGTCTGTTTTTTCATATTTCTAGACTATATTCTGTTAGATAATCTGCCTAACGTTTGAACCTTTTGGTCGACCGTAGTCTCGCGAGACGTCTCGTATTTTATGGTTGTTTATCTAATCTATCTAAATGTAATGGTCAGATATCATAAATCAGTGTTACTGCGACACGATATGAGAAGTTGATTTTTACTTAGATTGGTTGGCCCAAAATAGTAGATTTTACAAGTACTGCCTTCATCTAAGGCTTTTATAGCCTTGTGTCTGTGTGGTTATGGTACAGGTTGTCCATTTTGCAAATCAAAAGATTGGGTTCATCTGTCTGACATAAGCTGACCCCTGCTGGAGGACACGTCAGATACCTTGGCCTTGTAACTCGGATTGCAAACCGCAGTGAGGCATCAGCAACAACGTACTCCAAGTAGGATCTACCGTGTCAGCTGGCATTCGGTCAATCTTGGTTAATTACCCTGTCATGATTCCACACGTGTGCCCGCCTAAGTGAGATTGGCAACCTCACTTTAAAGGCCAGTGTTTCCCCTAGGTTTACAGTTTTAGGGTGGGGGGTCTCGTCTCGGCGTGGCGCGGCGTATCTGTTCGGACTGACACCGACACAAAGGCCGCATTTACACTGCACTGTTCAAGTGACTCAATTCCGATTGTTTTCTTCCATGTGGCACAGATCTGATATGGCCCATGTACTTGTGAGCAGGAATAAATCACATGGATTCCGATTTACTCAAATCAGATTCAGGGCTTGTTCATATGTGGAAATTTATCCGATATGAATCGGATCTCTGTTTTCGTGTCTGCAGTTTAAGCAGGGTGATCAGATTTTCACCTGTCAATGAGAGTCGTGCATCAATAAAAATCGTAGCGAATGACGTCAAGTCTGACACTTTTTTTTCAGGACAGACTTCAGCAGAATCCCAAACCTTAAATCTCATACACGAGGACTTAAACAGCTTTTATTTTGTCATATAGCACAGGCATTTAAGCATGAGAGTGGAATGTCCGCTATGTAACCAATATAAACTAATATAAAACTGGTGCATAGCTACATCACGTGCATAAATCTCGTATGGGACATTACATTAAGATGCCTAAAGGTTTAAAAAAGGCATATATTAAAAGAAAATGGACAAATGAGAACCTTTCTGTCATAAACTATAGTAAAACAGCTTGTAAAAAGCTGCGAACAGATTCCATACAGGAATAGGGAAAAGAGCACTCTTAAATTATCAGCTGTTAGTCAGCGCCCGCTCTTTTTTTTTCAGCTAATTGCGTCTTTGCCGTGTGCTCTGTAAATGTAGGCGATCGGAAACGAGTCACTTTTAAAAGATTATATTAGCAGGTCATCAAAAAAATCAGATACAGTCACAAAATCGGAAGTAACCATCAAGATCTGCAGTGTAAGTGCAGCCAAAGAGTCGAGGTGTAAATTTGTTTCTTTTAACGACAGCAGTAAAAAAAAAAAAATAAATAAACAAAAAATTATTTGAAGTGTACAACTGTACTGGCTAAAAATGTTAATTTATTTTTATATCGTTTTTTTTTTTTTTCCACAAAGTGGGCAGCTTTTGTCATTGCAGTGTTTCTTGGGGTTAATTACTTGCTAAATAAAGTATACTTTTATACTTGACCTTTACTTAAGTATACTTCTTTTTCCTAAGGGTGTATTTACTGACTTACCAAGATCAGTCTTGTGGAGCCAGGGGGAGTATTGCTGCTCTGACAGCCAAGTTGGGTTAAAGCTAGGGCTGCTCCGATCAGGATTTTTGCAGCTGATATCATTGAGTACCCATTTCTTGTCATGGTGATCGGCTAATACTGAACACCGATTCTAATGCTTCAAGCTTTATAATGCTTTGAGCACATCTTCCTCTAAGTATGAACCTTAAGAGAAGATCTAGCCTTACCTAAGAGAACAAATGAAGGATGCTGCATATTATACCTTAAACACGTCTCTTATAACCATCTTATAACCAGGTGTGAGCGTGTCATGGCCAGAAGCAGCTTTATAAGAAATAGTTCATCCATTAATTTTACTCTGGCGTAGTCCCTTGGTTATCAGGGGTCACCACAGCGGAATAAACCGCCACAGAAAATAATATAACACAGATATAAAAATTGTGATGAAAAATTACAATGCATTTTGGAAACACTGCAAATGATAAAAGAAGAATTCAACATGAATCAACCAAGAACAAGTTTGGAGCGTATGTTTGATGCATTAAAATTAAAATGCACACCAATGAGACTAAAACTTCTTTACTAAAAGGAAAGAGGTCTATAAACTACTGTTTATAGCAATGAGTGTATTACAAAAATGTATATAATTAAATATTCATGTAAAAAAACAAAACAAATTGTATCTAATAGTTCCAGCCAGCTTTTAGTGAACTTGCAATATAGTCAAAACAGAACTTTCAATTGTTATATATGTAAAGAGGCCTAAATACATGCAGGACCGTTCAAATGTTTTGCTGGTCTCCAACTAATAACAGCAGATCACTCAGAGATAGAGGGATTTGCACTCGCGATATCTTTACTGCTCTATTCAATTAATGCTTAGAACAATACTGTGCCTCTCGCGATCTGTTGTCTTGCACATTCACTCTCGTCGCTGTGATTTCCGAGTATTATAACTTATTTTGGGGGATCACAGGGCCGGTATAAATTTGCGGGAGACTCGCGGAGCTTCCGGGAGAGGTCAGGTTGGATGAGACGCAGGATGGGGGAGAACGCGTCACAGCAGCTCAAAACACTGGAGATACAATGACTGCACTTGCAACAAAGCATGCATCACTCGCGCGGGTCACGCTAATGAACTAAACAGAGGTCCCATCGCATCTGTATATACTTTAGCTGCTGCGACCGAGCACATTACTTACGCCCCCACACGTTGGCCCACTCCCAATTCTACCCCGTAGCCCTTCCCCTTGCCCCTTCCCCTCGTTTTGCGCGTCAAGGGGTAGGGGTGTCCCAATTCTCTTTAGCTTGAAGGCGTAGGGCTAAGGGGAAGGGGTGAATAGCCCTTCGAACAAAGATTTTTCAGGACCACACTCGAAACCAAGGGATCATAAAATTTCCCAGAACACACCAGCCACAACGGCAGATAGTTACACCCGGAAGTAAGGAGATCCACAAATTAGTATTTTGTTGTTACAAATTACAAATGTTTACAAGAGACAAACACATGTTTGAATATATTCCTGACGACGTAGGTGTTTTACCGTCATGCTTTAAAAAAAACCCCCGCTAAAATAAAAACCGGTAAATTTCGCAATCTATAGTCCATAATCATAACTCCTGTATAGCAGTCCCACAGCATTCTGTCACTCGATGACACTCGAATACTCTGTCGAAAAGTCTAATGGCCAGGATTGGGCTTTTTACGGTGTCTGCTATAATGTTAATGTTGTTTTTGCTGTGTTTACATAGATAAATATGGCCACTGTGTTAAATGCGCAGTATTATGATCTTAGTGTCGCATCAGACCGTTATGATAACACAACATATGCCTTCAGTGATTTCCTGAAGATAAATACCAATAAATAACTCGACTGGAATAACTACAGCAGTCGCGATCGTCTAATCTCATATTTTCTAATCTCATATCGTATCAGAGATGGCGATGACATATGATGACGAGTGCAGGTGCTGTAGTGCTGTCCCAATTCTTAGGGGTACGTTTTGAAGCCCTTCCCCTTCACCCTCGGTTTTAAGGGCCAGGGGGAAGGGGTAGGGGTACAAAAAAATAAAATTGGGATTGGGCCATCTTTTACCTTTGTTTTGGCTGCTGCAGGCTATGCATAATATACGTAAGTGCACGTGCGTCTTGGGTCCTGTCAAACGTGGCACACAGTTTCATTCCCATTCAGCATACAGTGGCTGTGTAGAACTCCACTGTGGGCGATTCAGAGAGCAGAAATATGTAATGGAGCGACCATGTAGAGACCGAAATCACATGCCGTTGTGTAAATAAGACATTACATACGGCTATTTAGCTCGTTTATTAAAAGAAGTTGTGATCTGGTGCTATGTATAAAATACAATTAACTTGACCTCAAGGGGGGCGGGAAGCCCCCCCCCCAATATAATGGTGGGGAAAACACTGTGGGCCTAGAGTGGCACCGGAATCTTCAGGCGAAACCCAATTTTGAATCGTGCCAAGTGGTCGGTGACCTCATTGAGTGTTACGTGTTGTGCTAGAGGCCCATACTGTTTGAGAGTTTGCATCTGGTTGCAGTGTGTGCAAGTAACCTGATCGTAACTGCAGTAGGCGTTGGGGAAAGTCTAGCCAGATAGCTCATCATTGCGATTTTCATCTGGATGCCTTTTAACTCACCATCAAAGGTCAAGAAGCATGTAAAGCCTAGTCTGAACCTGAACCACAATAGGACTATTCACGTTATTCTTTGCCGACGAGTGGGCGCAGCCATTTGAATCTTTTTGGCTCAAGACTTCCGGTCTCGTTGTATCAGTTGCAAACTGATATTTTCCTATTATATTATTCTACTTAGTCGGTTTAGTAATGCAAACATTTGTTTGTAGAGTAAGTAGTTTGACCGTTTTCTGCCGTTTATTATTCCTAGTCATTTTTCCCATAGGCGACTGATGCGGAAGTTCTGAAACAATCGTGAAAACAGGCGCACTTCCGCATTTTAGAATAAGGTCAATAGACCCTCTGTAGAACCTCTATGTTTCTCTGTACACTCATTTATTCCAGTGCTATGCTGTTTTGTTTAGCTTATCGTAGCGCTATCGTTTAGCGTAACGTAGAAATCAACTATTATATAGCCACCCTAGTTCAACATCACAGTGTCTGGCCCACAGTGGTTTTTAAAAGGACCAACGTCTGGCCTGTACATTTTCCCCCAGCTGATGACCCTGTCAGCCTAGTAATGTATATATGTTAGACTGGTCAATAAGTCATGCTATAACCACGTTGGATTGTGGATGTTTTGCCTCACAGAAAAGGTCAATTTAACATTGGAGCCTTGCTACAAGCTTTACTTGAACAAGTTTCCTAGAGATGTATATCAACGAAGTAGAACTACTTCACTACTGTACTTAAGTACTAAAAGGCTGTATCTGTACTCTACTGGAGTATTGTTTTTTTACTCCTCCTTCCACTTTTACTTCAGTACATATTTTCGATGAGTTTAATACTCCGATAGATTCTTTATGTGCTGCGTCGTTACTCGTTACTAGGGGTGTCAAAATTATTTTTATCGGTTCAGCAAGAGATCACAACCGGTTATTACACACTGACGTCATTTATCTCCTATGCGCGATGTCGCAGTAGAATGCTATGGTAAAGGAGGCGAGGCCGAGTGTCGCTCTTACTACAATGAAGGCGGCACAGCACACGAGCCGCTATTTCACTACTAGGGTGAAATGCTGTAAGAATCCACCTGTGCCTCTCTCTCTCTCTCTCTCTCTCTCTCTTACTTTGGACATTTGACCCGCTGACCTGTTTGTGAGGTCACTTTTCCTCTCCACTTGACTGTTCAAGCGATACTTGTGGATCAAGACACGAGCGTGCCTGTGGTACAAGTTTTCTCCACTGTTTCTTTCACGGATTACCTGTGATATGCGCGTATTATGCGCATATAGAGTGTAACCGTAGCAGTTTTTTCACGCCATCGGTAAACAGCGATTTAATTTCTAAAGCCGATCGCAGCCCTTTCTGTTGAGCAGGGTAAGACAATAACCAATCATAGGGGTGTTAGACCTCGCCTGTCAGCGCTCTAAAAGCAAGCAGGATGATATTTACATTAGTTTATTAGCTATAAATGCTCACGCTGTCTTCTGTGCATGTGTTGGAGTTTTGTTTGATACTTTCAGAAAGAGTGTTGTCTTTGAGCAGGTCAAATTAAGGGTCTGCTGTATTAAAGAACAAAATTGTATTACAAACAATATATATAAATATATTTATAGATTTTGATCAAAAAAAAAAAATCTTGTGTTGTGAAGAAAAAATAGAATTATGTATGGAAAGCATCGTCAATCCACCGAGATATCGAAATGAACCGAATCGATGGCATGATAATCATAACCGAACCAACCCGTCAGACCAGTGTAGATTCACACCCCTACTCGTTACATTTATAGACCTTTTTCTTGGTTGCTGCATGGAGGGCGCCATAGCGACCAGCGTCTTCCGGTAGAATGTTTTGAACATCCGCTTACAGCGTTTACAACTGGTAATTTGCAATGCGAAAATGGGCTTCAATAGCGTTTTGAGTGGATTACAGAGTGTTTTTGTGACACACAACTTTAAAAGGTGTGTGTTAAAGCTGTTATAATCTGTCAGATCTGTGATTCAAGCGCGAGAGAAAAACAGTATCGTAAGCCATGTTTCTTTTCATACTGCTTAATCACGTGCCCCCCCCCCCCAAAAGATATTTAAACTAAACAAAAGAATATGGTGTCTTTTGACTGCTTTTTTTTTTAATAACGACGTTACACAATACATAATATGTATTTTTAATTTCAGTACTTGAGCAGTAAACTTTGAAATAAACTACTTGCAATACTGAAGTACAAAAAGTGTTGATACTTCCACTTAAGTATGGTGCTTAAAGAGCACTTCAACTTCTACTCAAGTCACTTTTTTTAAAGAGCACTTGTAGTTTTAGCTAAGTCTGTGTCTCTAGTACTTTATCATTGTTCGAAATTAACCTTTTTGCTGGGTAAGACTGGTGCTCCTAACTTTAAAAATGTAGGCGCATCAACCAAAATTTAGTCTAACTTATAAACACAGTTACTAAAAGTTTTATACAAACATATTTATTGCATTTGAAATCAACAGTAATCAAACTAACAAGCAAAAAAAAAAAAAAAAATGCAAATTTGCAAGCGTGAGGAAAATGTGTCTCAACGAAATCCCGTTATCACAAGAAAATAGATTTTTATAACAAAACTGAGTGACCAAAGCATACAGGGACCGCAAACCCGCCCTGCACGCACTGCTTGACATTATTGAATCTGTAACTGATATAACTGTGCTGTTCTCACGGGTCGTGTCTAATATTGCACTGATGTTTTTGACATATACTGTACCTTATTTTATGCATACGTCATGTAGCGATACCGGTCTTTTCATGAGTAGCGGTATTAGTTTACTCAATGTAAGCCTGTTTGCGATGGTGTACGTGGTGTTAAATTTGACAAATAGCTGCCACTTGCACGGTGAACAGCTTATGGCGATTTTATGAAGGATTAAACAGAAGCTTTCGTGCTAGATGTGGCACGCAGTTACCGGAAAATTTCATCCCACAGACTTTTCATAGCGGACTTGAAGTCTTTTATCCACTCTTCGAAAAGTGTAGATGGTGGATTAACATTCAGCACGATCACTGTTAAGATGTGTTATTATTTGTAACTTTAGATGGCATGGTTTCAAAATCAAAATCTGTCAGTGTTATCTTCATTGTCATTTTCAGCGCTTTACGTTTTTCACGGTAGTAGTGCTCTCTGTCATCCCAAGCCAGAAGGCATTGACTGAGTGATTGACAGCTGATATTTCAATGCTAGAGCAGTGGGCCTATAAGAAGAGCGCGGAGGCGGGGCAAGCATTACGGACTTTGCTTTGTTTACTGCAGCAAGTTGATATGACAACGGTTTTAAACCAGTCCTGAGCACTGCGCTTCGCGTTTCAAGTGAAGAGATGCATTCTGCGTAAATGTCTTCGGAATCCGCGCATATGGTGAACATATTGCAGCAAAAAGTGGTCGCACACAACAATTTTATGCACTCGCACAAATGCTCCCAAATATATTTTTAGGTCGCATAAATAAAATTTCAGGCGCATATGCAACCAAAATGGTCGCAATTTTCAGCCCTGTTTATACATCTCTGATTCTGAGTATTCATAATTGATGATAGCTGGTTATTATTGCTCATTAAGATTCATGAAATTGAGCTAATTTCGCTACAGATTATGGTGGAGAATGCGGGCGGTCATTTTAAACGTTTTCTGTGAAGCAAAGTTTTTTATTCCACTGTGATTTTATTGTACTCACCAGCATGACCAAAGGTGTATGCAGCTGGCTGTCTGTCTCTCCACAGCTGGAAGGACGCACGTCTTTCAGCCATTCCCTAGCACACAGATGACTACTGTTAGTGTAACTATTAAACTGCAGTTCACAATATTCAAAATCGATTTTGCAAAGATGCACGTCATGCAAATGATTGAAATATTATCGCGCCTGTCGGAACAGCGATTTCCCTCAGTGCTTCTGAGATAGTTTGGAAAACCTCCAAATCTATCTGTTAAAGGCCTTACTATTGTAACTAGAGTGAGGCCAGGCGCCGTCTGTTTTTTCATATTTCTAGACTATATTCTGTTAGATAATCTGCCTAACGTTTGAACCTTTTGGTCGACCGTAGTCTCGCGAGACGTCTCGTATTTTATGGTTGTTTATCTAATCTATCTAAATGTAATGGTCAGATATCATAAATCAGTGTTACTGCGACACGATATGAGAAGTTGATTTTTACTTAGATTGGTTGGCCCAAAATAGTAGATTTTACAAGTACTGCCTTCATCTAAGGCTTTTATAGCCTTGTGTCTGTGTGGTTATGGTACAGGTTGTCCATTTTGCAAATCAAAAGATTGGGTTCATCTGTCTGACATAAGCTGACCCCTGCTGGAGGACACGTCAGATACCTTGGCCTTGTAACTCGGATTGCAAACCGCAGTGAGGCATCAGCAACAACGTACTCCAAGTAGGATCTACCGTGTCAGCTGGCATTCGGTCAATCTTGGTTAATTACCCTGTCATGATTCCACACGTGTGCCCGCCTAAGTGAGATTGGCAACCTCACTTTAAAGGCCAGTGTTTCCCCTAGGTTTACAGTTTTAGGGTGGGGGGTCTCGTCTCGGCGTGGCGCGGCGTATCTGTTCGGACTGACACCGACACAAAGGCCGCATTTACACTGCACTGTTCAAGTGACTCAATTCCGATTGTTTTCTTCCATGTGGCACAGATCTGATATGGCCCATGTACTTGTGAGCAGGAATAAATCACATGGATTCCGATTTACTCAAATCAGATTCAGGGCTTGTTCATATGTGGAAATTTATCCGATATGAATCGGATCTCTGTTTTCGTGTCTGCAGTTTAAGCAGGGTGATCAGATTTTCACCTGTCAATGAGAGTCGTGCATCAATAAAAATCGTAGCGAATGACGTCAAGTCTGACACTTTTTTTTCAGGACAGACTTCAGCAGAATCCCAAACCTTAAATCTCATACACGAGGACTTAAACAGCTTTTATTTTGTCATATAGCACAGGCATTTAAGCATGAGAGTGGAATGTCCGCTATGTAACCAATATAAACTAATATAAAACTGGTGCATAGCTACATCACGTGCATAAATCTCGTATGGGACATTACATTAAGATGCCTAAAGGTTTAAAAAAGGCATATATTAAAAGAAAATGGACAAATGAGAACCTTTCTGTCATAAACTATAGTAAAACAGCTTGTAAAAAGCTGCGAACAGATTCCATACAGGAATAGGGAAAAGAGCACTCTTAAATTATCAGCTGTTAGTCAGCGCCCGCTCTTTTTTTTCAGCTAATTGCGTCTTTGCCGTGTGCTCTGTAAATGTAGGCGATCGGAAACGAGTCACTTTTAAAAGATTATATTAGCAGGTCATCAAAAAAATCAGATACAGTCACAAAATCGGAAGTAACCATCAAGATCTGCAGTGTAAGTGCAGCCAAAGAGTCGAGGTGTAAATTTGTTTCTTTTAACGACAGCAGTAAAAAATAAATAAATAAATAAACAAAAAATTATTTGAAGTGTACAACTGTACTGGCTAAAAATGTTAATTTATTTTTATATCGTTTTTTTTTTTTTTTCCACAAAGTGGGCAGCTTTTGTCATTGCAGTGTTTCTTGGGGTTAATTACTTACTAAATAAAGTATACTTTTATACTTGACCTTTACTTAAGTATACTTCTTTTTCCTAAGGGTGTATTTACTGACTTACCAAGATCAGTCTTGTGGAGCCAGGGGGAGTATTGCTGCTCTGACAGCCAAGTTGGGTTAAAGCTAGGGCTGCTCCGATCAGGATTTTTGCAGCTGATATCATTGAGTACCCATTTCTTGTCATGGTGATCGGCTAATACTGAACACCGATTCTAATGCTTCAAGCTTTATAATGCTTTGAGCACATCTTCCTCTAAGTATGAACCTTAAGAGAAGATCTAGCCTTACCTAAGAGAACAAATGAAGGATGCTGCATATTATACCTTAAACACGTCTCTTATAACCATCTTATAACCAGGTGTGAGCGTGTCATGGCCAGAAGCAGCTTTATAAGAAATAGTTCATCCATTAATTTTACTCTGGCGTAGTCCCTTGGTTATCAGGGGTCACCACAGCGGAATAAACCGCCACAGAAAATAATATAACACAGATATAAAAATTGTGATGAAAAATTACAATGCATTTTGGAAACACTGCAAATGATAAAAGAAGAATTCAACATGAATCAACCAAGAACAAGTTTGGAGCGTATGTTTGATGCATTAAAATTAAAATGCACACCTATGAGACTAAAACTTCTTTACTAAAAGGAAAGAGGTCTATAAACTGCTGTTTATAGCAATGAGTGTATTACAAAAATGTATATAATTAAATATTCATGTAAAAAAACAAAACAAATTGTATCTAATAGTTCCAGCCAGCTTTTAGTGAACTTGCAATATAGTCAAAACAGAACTTTCAATTGTTATATATGTAAAGAGGCCTAAATACATGCAGGACCGTTCAAATGTTTTGCTGGTCTCCAACTAATAACAGCAGATCACTCAGAGATAGAGGGATTTGCACTCGCGATATCTTTACTGCTCTATTCAATTAATGCTTAGAACAATACTGTGCCTCTCGCGATCTGTTGTCTTGCACATTCACTCTCGTCGCTGTGATTTCCGAGTATTATAACTTATTTTGGGGGATCACAGGGCCGGTATAAATTTGCGGGAGACTCGCGGAGCTTCCGGGAGAGGTCAGGTTGGATGAGACGCAGGATGGGGGAGAACGCGTCACAGCAGCTCAAAACACTGGAGATACAATGACTGCACTTGCAACAAAGCATGCATCACTCGCGCGGGTCACGCTAATGAACTAAACAGAGGTCCCATCGCATCTGTATATACTTTAGCTGCTGCGACCGAGCACGTTACTTACGCCCCCACACGTTGGCCCACTCCCAATTCTACCCCGTAGCCCTTCCCCTTGCCCCTTCCCCTCGTTTTGCGCGTCAAGGGGTAGGGGTGTCCCAATTCTCTTTAGCTTGAAGGCGTAGGGCTAAGGGGAAGGGGTGAATAGCCCTTCGAACAAAGATTTTTCAGGACCACACTCGAAACCAAGGGATCAGAAAATTTCCCAGAACACACCAGCCACAACGGCAGATAGTTACACCCGGAAGTAAGGAGATCCACAAATTAGTATTTTGTTGTTACAAATTACAAATGTTTACAAGAGACAAACACATGTTTGAATATATTCCTGACGACGTAGGTGTTTTACCGTCATGCTTTAAAAAAAAAACCCCGCTAAAATAAAAACCGGTAAATTTCGCAATCTATAGTCCATAATCATAACTCCTGTATAGCAGTCCCACAGCATTCTGTCACTCGATGACACTCGAATACTCTGTCGAAAAGTCTAATGGCCAGGATTGGGCTTTTTACGGTGTCTGCTATAATGTTAATGTTGTTTTTGCTGTGTTTACATAGATAAATATGGCCACTGTGTTAAATGCGCAGTATTATGATCTTAGTGTCGCATCAGACCGTTATGATAACACAACATATGCCTTCAGTGATTTCCTGAAGATAAATACCAATAAATAACTCGACTGGAATAACTACAGCAGTCGCGATCGTCTAATCTCATATTTTCTAATCTCATATCGTATCAGAGATGGCGATGACATATGATGACGAGTGCAGGTGCTGTAGTGCTGTCCCAATTCTTAGGGGTACGTTTTGAAGCCCTTCCCCTTCACCCTCGGTTTTAAGGGCCAGGGGGAAGGGGTAGGGGTACAAAAAAATAAAATTGGGATTGGGCCATCTTTTACCTTTGTTTTGGCTGCTGCAGGCTATGCATAATATACGTAAGTGCACGTGCGTCTTGGGTCCTGTCAAACGTGGCACACAGTTTCATTCCCATTCAGCATACAGTGGCTGTGTAGAACTCCACTGTGGGCGATTCAGAGAGCAGAAATATGTAATGGAGCGACCATGTAGAGACCGAAATCACATGCCGTTGTGTAAATAAGACATTACATACGGCTATTTAGCTCGTTTATTAAAAGAAGTTGTGATCTGGTGCTATGTATAAAATACAATTAACTTGACCTCAAGGGGGGCGGGAAGCCCCCCCCCCCAATATAATGGTGGGGAAAACACTGTGGGCCTAGAGTGGCACCGGAATCTTCAGGCGAAACCCAATTTTGAATCGTGCCAAGTGGTCGGTGACCTCATTGAGTGTTACGTGTTGTGCTAGAGGCCCATACTGTTTGAGAGTTTGCATCTGGTTGCAGTGTGTGCAAGTAACCTGATCGTAACTGCAGTAGGCGTTGGGGAAAGTCTAGCCAGATAGCTCATCATTGCGATTTTCATCTGGATGCCTTTTAACTCACCATCAAAGGTCAAGAAGCATGTAAAGCCTAGTCTGAACCTGAACCACAATAGGACTATTCACGTTATTCTTTGCCGACGAGCGGGCGCAGCCATTTGAATCTTTTTGGCTCAAGACTTCCGGTCTCGTTGTATCAGTTGCAAACTGATATTTTCCTATTATATTATTCTACTTAGTCGGTATAGTAATGCAAACATTTGTTTGTAGAGTAAGTAGTTTGACCGTTTTCTGCCGTTTATTATTCCTAGTCATTTTTCCCATAGGCGACTGATGCGGAAGTTCTGAAACAATCGTGAAAACAGGCGCACTTCCGCATTTTAGAATAAGGTCAATAGACCCTCTGTAGAACCTCTATGTTTCTCTGTACACTCATTTATTCCAGTGCTATGCTGTTTTGTTTAGCTTATCGTAGCGCTATCGTTTAGCGTAACGTAGAAA